AAAAGGGGCTGGGTTGTAGCTCAGCGGTGGAGCACTCACCTGGCACGTGCGGGGGCTTGGGTTCAATCCTCAGAACCACATATAAATGAATAAAACAAGGGTATTATGACCTACTACAACTAAAAAATATATTTAAAAAATCCAAAATGACAATATTTGGTTTTAAAATGCAGTGTTGAGGTCATTGACATTATTATAATTGTTACTATGGTTAGGTTTAAATCTATCATATTATTTGCTTTTTCTTTGCCTTGTTATTTGTTCCACTTCCCACTTTTTTCTCTTGAATAAATTATTTTATAGTTCTCTATTTTAATCTTTAAATTGGATTATTAGTTTTTAGTTACCTCTTTTATTCTTTCTATCACATTTTACCTTCAAATAATATTATATCACTTCACATATGATGTTAGAACCTTGTAATGGTATAGTCAGCTCTCCATATCCATGGGTTCCACATCCATGGATTTAACCAAGTGCAGTTTTAAAATATTTTGGGAAAAATTTTTCATTGTATTGAACATGTACAGACTTTTAATTCTTCATTATTCCCCCAAATTATTATCATAGCATGGACTTGTATTAGGTATTATATGTAATCTAGAGATGATTTAAAACATACAGGAGGATGTGCATAGGTCACATGCAAATGCCATTTTTTAAATTAAATTATTTATTTATTCAAATTTGTTATACATGATGGTAGAATGCAATTCATTTCATATTACACATATGGAGTACAATTTTTCAAGTCACTGATTGTACCCAAAGTATTTTTACACTATTTGTGTCTATATACATGTACTTAGGTTAATGATGTCCATCTCATTCCACCATCATTCCTACCCCTTTGCCACCTCCCTTTCCCTCCCTCCCCTTTGCCCTATCTAAAGTCCCTCCATTCCTCCCATGCTCCCCCTCCATTGCCATTATGAGTCAGCATCCTCATATCAAAGAAAACATTTGGCCTTTGTTTTTTTGGGATTGGCTTACTTTACTTAACATTATATTCTCCAACTCCATCCATTTACCTGCAAATGCCATGATTTTATTCTCTTTTAATGATGAGTAAAGTTCCATTGTGTATATATACCAAAGTTTCCCTATCCATTCATCTACTGAAGGGCATCTGGATTGGTTCCACAATTTAGCTATTGTGAATTGTGCTGCTATAAACATTGATGTGGCTGTGTCCCTGTAGTATGCTGTTTTTAAGTCTTTTGGGTGTAAGCTGAGGAGTGGGATAGCTGGGTCAAATGGTGGTTCCATTCCAGGTTTTCCAAGAAATCTCCATACTGCTTTCCATATTGGTTGCACCAATTTGTAGCAATGTGTGAGTGTATCTTTTTCCCTACATCCACGCCAACACTTGTTGTTTGTATTCTTGATAGCTGCCATTCTGACTGGAGTGAGATGAAATATTAGAGTAGTTTTGATTTGCATTTCTCTAATTGCTGGCGATGATGAACATTTTTTCATATGTTTGTTGATTGATTGTATATCCTTTTCTGAGAAGTGTCTATTCAGTTCCTTGGCTCACAAATGTCATTTTATATAAAGTACTTGAGAATCTTCAGATACCAAAACCCTGGGGGTTCTGGAACCAATCCCCCAGGGATGCGAAAGAACAACTGTGTATATCCTTTTCCCCTTCCTTTATGATATGATTAACATTTTTATTTTTTGATATAAACTTCAAACCTCAAGTCATTATTTTTCTTTAAATTATTTTTAAAGAAAAATATTTACATTAGATAAATTTTTACATATTCACCTTTCTGGTACTTTTTGTTCCTTTCCTGTGACTTTCAGTTGTAGGCTTAAGGATAGACTCTATGAGGCTGGTAAATAAAAACTACTGGGAAATTTAAACTGATCAACTACTAAAATTGAATAGAATTTGGAAACATTCAAGTTCTGAATAACTGGAATTGGGAAATCTTATTAAAAACCTTGGCATTTAGAAAAGAGATCCTAGAAAGGTCACATTGTAACAATAAGGCTAAATTAGCCCAAACAAAAGCTGAAGAGGTTTTGCTTAGGTAAATAACAGATAGCAATCTGGAGAAAGTTTGGGGTTCATCTTGTTTGTTTTCCTTCTGTTCAGAATCATAATCTTACTATGCCTGGGGCTGGGGTTGTAGCTCAGTGGCAGCTCACTTGCCTCGCACCTGTGAGGCACTGGATTTGAACCTCAGCACCACATAAAAATAAATAAACAAAATCAAGATATTGTGTCCATCTATAACTAAAAAATCTCCCCCAGTGGGGACTGGGGTTGTAGCTTAGTGGTACAGTGCTTGTCTAGCATGTGTGAGGCACTGGGTTCAATTCTCAGCACCACATATAAAGAAATAAAGGTTCATTGACAACCAAAAAAAATGTATATATATATATATAAATTTTTTAAAAATCTTACTATGCCTGAATTGTGCAATGCTTTCCTTCCATAGACTTAATCTTGTTTTCTATTACTTATGGGAGAGACTTAGTCTCCTGGTAGTGATTAATTGTGGCTGGATCACCCTTAACATTTTAAAATGTAAACTTTCCATAGAATAACAGAATACACATTGAAAAACTGCACAAATTATAGGCCTATAGTTTGATGAATTTTCATTCATTGCATATTCCATATCCCTTAGTGTCTTTTTTCAATTAATTATGAATGCTACATGAGGGTAACCAATATCCCAACTTCTATAAATTTATAATATTTTTGGCTTTGAACATTTTATGTAGAATCATGTTGTATGTATTTTTTGTGTCTGACCTATTTCACTGAGTTTCATGATTGTGATTCATCCATGCTTTGTGTATAGTTGTAGATTGTTTATTATTTTTTCTTGTATATATTCTACTATGTGAATATTCTAAAGTTTATTCATCCTATGAAATCCATGCACACATATAACTTTTTAAAAATATCTTTATTTTATTTATTTTTTTTATGTGGTGCTGAGGATGGAACTGAGGGCCTTACACTTGCTAGGCAAGCAGTCTACCGCTGAGCCACAACCCCAGCCCCCCCCACATATATCTTTTAGTGAACATATGAATATGTTTCTGTTGAATGTATTTCTAGGAGTAGAATGGCCATATAAATTCACTTCAATAACCACATTTTAAAAATGTACCCAAATCTTTCTTCTGAACTCTAGACATACAAAACTGCTTGACAGGCATTTAAAAGTACCTCAAATTCAAAATATGCAAAATTATTTACTCCTCCCTTTTTGTTCTCTGAGTCAGTAAATGGCTTCTTAATCCATTACTTAAGGAGATATCCTTAATACTCTTTTTTTCTTGTCCTTTCCCAGCAAAACAATTCATTAAGTCCCTTAGATTCCATATCCAATTTATGGATATCTTGAAATTATCCACATTTTTTCTGTCTCTATTGCCATTACCATACTCTAAGTCACCATCATTTGTGACTTTGACCAATGCAACTGCCTCCAAACTGGCTTCCAGTCACCTTTTCTCGCCCTCTTTCAATCTATCTCCCTCACAGAGCCAAGTGTGCTTTTAAATATGTAAATCAGATCCTACTTAATAGTCTTTATTAGCTGCCCATTGACCTGAAGATACTTTCCAAATTATACTCTGAAATATATAGTGTGGCTAAAAAGAGCCAATATGATCTAACTCTTGCTTCATCTCAGCTCAGACTTCTTGCCACCCTTCACACAACTTCCTTTTTATGCCTAGAACATTCCAAATTCACGCCCTGACTCACACATCTTTGGACTGTACTTTTCTTTAATATTTCTAGAGCTTAAAAGGCACTTAATTCAGTGGGCTTTTCTTTGACCTTCCAAAATTAATCTATCATTACACCCTTTAATTTTTCTTCATGAATGAAATTATGGCTTTTGTTGGTAAATGGATGGAACTGGAGACTATCATGCTAAGTGAAATAAGCCAATGGCCAAAACCAAAGGTCAAATGTTTTCTCGGATATGTGGATGCTAATATAATAAGGGGTAGGGGAGGAAAGAATAGAAGTTCATTGGATGGGTTGAGGTTGCGGCTCAGTGGTGGAGCACTTGCCCCGAGTGTGAGGCACTGGGTTTCATCCTCAGCACCACATAAAAATAAATAAAGGTATCATGTCTATCTACAACTATAAACATTTTTTTTTTAAAAAAAAGTTCATTGGATTAAAGGGGAATGAAGGGAAGGAAGCAGGATGGGAATAGGATAGACAGAATGGGAGATATATATATACATACACACACACATATGAATGCATGACCAGTGAAACTCCACATCAAATACAACCACGAAAATGGGAAGTTACACTCCATGTATGTAATATATCAAAATACACTCTAATGTCATATATCTTTAAAAGAACAAGAAAAAAATTTTCTTCATAATACTGATCCCCATTTATATTGCTGTAACAATTTCTGTTTTAATGTCTCTTGTTCCCATAACATCTTAAATTCCTTTGAATATTATGTTCACTCCTGTAACCAAGTCGAACACGGTGTTTGTTGCTTGTAAGACACTCAGTGAATGCTTGTTTAATAATGCATGATCACGTGAAGTCTGGAAGAGGGTATAGGGCCAGCAATTGGCACTTCTCTGCCATGGTTAGATTCTTTCCAGTGTGGGATGGTAGACTGGAGCAGGTCCTTTCTTTGCTCATCCAGAGAGTGCTTTTCTCCCTGTCCCTCGTATAAGCTCTTGCTTTAGGTTTGCGTGTCAGAAACAAACCACCTCTAGATATAGAACGGCAGGGAGGGAATATTAGCTTTATTTCAGAGGGACAGCATAGTTCTTCTCTCAGAGGATTAGGTAATCTGCCGTCGCAGGTGTCCAAGAGGCTGGGGATGTCTCCTGGAGCAGGCGGGACTAAGGCAGGTCCCGGAAGTGGGCGGGTTGGCAAATGCTTCCCACGGAACCTGATTGGCCTGGGCGAGCCGGGTGCGGGGGTGGGGCTTAACTCCGCTGGCGCCAGCCACGTTGGACTCGGGATTGCCCTGATAAGAGGCCACTCCCGGTCCCACAATGCACTGCGTGGCGCGTCACTCGGAGCTGCTGGTCCCGGCTCGACAGGTACTGCCCGGCTCCTGCCAGTCCTCTTCGCTAGCTGCTCAGAGTAGCTCGGACCCCTGGCGGCTCCCTTTGTTCTCTCTTTCCACCACGGCCTGCCCGTAGCAGGAACCGAAGCCGTGCCACGGGTGGAAGCAGGAATGTCTCTGGAGGGGCGGGGATGCAGGGTCCTGGTCCTCACTGCACCTTGGGTCTGTGGGCCGCGCGGGCGGCGGTTGCTCCCTGTCAGGCCTGCCCGGGGCAGCCCGGATAGTGGCTTCTCCAGGGGAAAGACGGCCGCCTTGGGCTGTCAGCAGGTGGTGGTAGGGACTCCCTGGCCCCAGATGTCTAGCATATCTAGGCTGTTAGGTGGCCCCAGACGGCTTGAGGTAGCATTTCCTCTTTCTTTTTTTTAGGCAGGATAAGACTTGAACCGGTGGCTTACTTTGCGTTTTGTGGGGATTGAATGAGTTTTGAACCTAAAGGCTAAAGGCTGCCCATGTTGGCTCCCAGAAACCCATTGAGGCCTTGTTAATGGCACTTTGGGAACGAGGTGGCAGACCTTAGCAATTGGTTCAAAAGTGGAGGTATTGGAAATAGAAGGCCGAGTCGGAGCTGGTTTGAATCTCTCTGCCCGTGAAAACAGCTTTACACCTTTCTTCTGCTGCTTAGTCTCCTGGATCGGAGCATCCACCTGGGCAGGTGGAGAGCTTCTGAACCACCCTCTCTTACGCCTATTCAGATAAGCTAAAACCCAGCCTAGAGCCAAGTCCTCAGCTACTACACTGGACGTGACAGGGTACTGATAGGTGGAATAACTGCTTCTTATAACTCTGAATCACATTCCATGTTTCTGATATTTGCTCATATGCCAAGATTGTAAGGAATAGGCAGTACCTGAACAGTACCTACACTGTATCTACACTTTCTTGTACATTGTTTAGAATTTGAATCTGCCACCTGTGACCATGCCCTAAGTTGATGGGACATCTGGGCGTTTGCTGAGCTGAGAATGATCACATCAGGTTTTTTTTTTTTTTTTTTTTTTTTTTTTTGTGTGTGTGTGTGTGTGTGTGTGTCTGTGTGTGTTTGATTGTTGTTTTGTTTTTGATGTGTAACTGATTAAAACTTGAGTAGTTTATGTTGATGTATGAAAGAAACCTAGAAGTGCCTGTGACCGTTTTCTACATGTAAGAAGTTTCAATATATTTAGGAGCAATGTCTCAGAGTTGTGAGAATTTTTCACACTTAAACCTCTACTTACTAGTGTAGGGATTAACAAAAAATGCTTAAACTTTCTGGGTTGAGTTTCCTCAAAGGTAAAATGGAACTAATAATAACCACCTCACAGTTTTTGGAAGGCCTAAATGAGGTAACATATAGAAAGTGCCTAGTCATAGAGGGTAATCAGTAAGTAGAAAGAATAGCAAATACATAATGTAGTACTTTTAGTATTTTACAAGACAATATCAGGTGCTTTACATGATTCTGTGAGGTAGATGTTGTTAGAGATAGACTATCAGTTTACAGGTGAGGAAATTTAGATTTAGAAAGACAAAGTTTGCCCAAGGTTACATGGCTAGAATGTGATAGAGCCTGGATTTGAACCAGAGCCTGATCTTTTAAGTACTGTGTTGTACTGCCTTTTGAAGAAAGCATAGGTTGTTATTTTATTATTATTATTACAAAATGAGCAGCTAGATAGGTTCTTTTATCTCTCTCTCTCTCTCTCTCTTTCTCTCTCTCTTTTATCCCTTGTTGGTTTGGGGAGATTGATATAGAACAATAATGTATAGATGTTAGAAACTCAGGTTTAAATACTATTTCTGCTATATACTAGCACCTGATAAAGTGAGCTGCAGTGGCCTGGGGTTATGGCTTAGTGGTAGAGTGCTTGCCTAGCATGTGTGAGGCACTGGGTTTGATTCTCAGCACCGCATATAAAGAAATAAAATAAAAGTCCATTGACAACTAAAAAAAAAAATTTTAAAAGTGAGGTGCAGTTTTGTCATCTATAAAATGAAAGTTATGCCTGTGTATATGTGAACTATGTGGAGCTGTACAAATGTTGGGCATGGACACATTTGCTCATATGTTGGGTCCCCTGTTACCAGATATGGGTATAATCTGTTGAGGAGCCTGAGATCTTATACACATTATGCAGTGTAAGCACTTGTAATTAGTATCTGAGACTGTTCAGGAGGTAGGGGCACAGGCAAAGCAGCAGAATAAATTCTGATACCTTGGTACTTTCCCCGCTTACCCTCTTTTTATTCTGCTCCCACCCTGTGTATCACAGTTAATATAGCCAATTAAGTTAAATCATTCTGTCCATCTGTGCCTCACAGTTACGTAGCCAATCCCCACATTAAACTTCTTAAGTACACAGACCTCAGATAGTACTATTTTTGTTACCAGGGATTGAACTCAAGGGCCCTTAACCACAGAGCCACATGCCCAGTTTTTAAAATTTTTTTTAGTTTTGAGATCGGGTCTCACTAGGTTGCTTACAGTCTAAGTTGCTGAGGCTGGCTTCAAACCTGCAATCTCCCACCCCAGCCTCCTGAGCTGTTGGAATAATAGGTGTGTGCCACCATGCTTGACTCAGCTAGTACTTTTAATAAATTAATGTCTACCATGTTAGTGTTTCTCAAACTTTGGTACCATCACATACATAAGATAATTGGATAAGCAGATGGACATTCAAAAAATAATTCTTCCAAAGTTTTCATACACACATATTTAAATGAAACAAAAACATTTCTTCTTAATTAAAATAGGGAGAAAAACCTGATGACTCAAAACTGATTTCACAGATGTTATTGTTTAAAAATATGGGACAAAAGTCAGTTGAAAGACTAATATTTAGTAAATATAGTATTAGTACAGGTGGGATACAGATAAGGTAAATATCCTGAAAGTGGTGCTTAGGTGATGAAAGTTTGGTAAATGATGAACTAAAAGTATGAATGACTTTTGTATAAAATGTTTTTTATCTTTAAAGAGGCAGCGAGGGTTTAGGGTGTAACTCAGTGGTATCCCTGGATTTGAGCCTTAGTATTAAAAAACAAAAAAACAAAACCCCAAACTACTCATGTTTGATGCTTTTTGAGCAATGCCTTCCTGATACCTTGAGCTTATAATCATTACCTCATAAGCTGAAGGAGAGGAGTCAGCATCTTGTTTTCTTGGGATGGTTGCAAACCATTTAGTCATTTGGCATTGTGGGAGTTTATTTTTCCAGCCTTTACACATCTACATAGAGTCTAATTTGGACTTTTCCTTCCAGTAGTTGCTGTTGGGGAAAGAAAATGAAATATGGTTGAGTACTCGGATAGTATATGAATTTTTTGGGATCTAAAGGCAGATGTAATATTTTTCTTTGTTAAGTGTGAGGAAAAATGGACCAGCGGCTTAATAATTTATTTGTGGCCTTGCTAAAATATAAAAACTTCTCTCAAAGCTTCCCATGCAATTGTTATAACCCTTTTTTTTTTTAAACATCACTGGTTTTATTGTTTTTTTTTAAACTTTTTTTTGTTTGTTTTAGATGCACACATTACCTTTATTTTTATTTTTATGTGGTGCTGAGGATTGAACCCAGTGCCTTCCACGTACTAGGCGAGCGCTCTACTACTGAGCTACAACCTCAGCCCTATTGTAATCTTTTGCTTTTCTTAGTTCCATTGGTTCTTCATTGGTTTTATCAACCATGACCCTTCCCGGACTCTAATCCTAGCTTGGCCTTGATATAAACAGACTCCTTTTACTACTAGCATAGTTCAAATAACATTGGAGTTTTGGTTTTGTTTGTTTTAAAATAAACTACAGTAAGAATACAAAGGGAAAAAAAGGGGGTTATGTTTGTTGAGTTAACAGAGGAGACACTGCTGCTTATCCTAAGGTAATTGGAGTCTGTACAAATTAGTTAAGCCTGGCATTGTTCATTGGACAGCTCAGTTTCTTCTTTTCTTTTTCTTTTTTTCTTTCTCTTTTTTTCTACTGTGAATGGAACCCAGGAGCACTTTACCACTGAGCTATAAAGCCAGCCTCTTTTATTTTTTATTTTCAGAGAGGGACTCACTAAGTTGCTGAGGTGGCCTTCATCTTGTGATCCTCCTGCTTCAGCCTCCCCATTTGCTGGGATCACAGGCATGAGCCATTGTTCCCAGCATCATCTCAGTTTCCTTAAATTCAGCTGTTCTGGATTCTAGATCACATTACTCTGGGAAAAAGATTTATTTGGTTTTTCCTTAAGAATAATCTTATTTTACTGATAAAAGAAAATGGTCCTCTAACAACCTTTTAAGGATTTTGGCGGGAATATAACTACTATGTACTCTTTTAAGTTACCAACCCACAATGTGTATTAGAAATATCTGAAATGCAAGTTTAACTAAAAATTTCCATTTAATAAACTGGTGGTCAGTAAAGCCTGTGTTGTATTTGTTATTTTATCTGAATTTCTCTATTTGGAGGATGTTTCTTGATGGTAGGGATGATGTATTCCAAATGTGTGGCATAATCCTTAGCATACAGTAGATACTCTAAGAACAAGTTTTCTCAGTATATGTTTTAGGAATGAATCATATCTTTCTGTCTTCCAAGTCATTAAGAAAAAAAAAAAGTAACTTTGAAGACTATATGAAAGTTGGTAATGTATTAATCTCCTAATACTTCTGTTAAGGCTCTAGAAAGGTCAGGTATAAAAGATAAGTTATTTTTCCTCCTTCCTTACACTTAGACTACAGGTTACAATTGTGGCTTAATAAATAATATTTTAAAAGCTGCATTTATTATATAGATCATTCAAATCTTCAGGGATCGAATCTCTCTTGTCTCTGTCTCTCTCTCTCTCTCTCTCTCTCTCTCTCTCTCTCTCTCTCTCTCTCTGGGTTACATTCTCAGTTCTTTTTATTTTTTTATTTTGATAAAGGGTACATGGTCTTATTAAATTGCTTATGGCCTCTCTAAGTTTCTGAGGCTAGCCTCAAGCTTTCCATTCTCTTGCCTCTGCCTCCCAGTGACTAGGATTAAAGGCATGTGCCATCATACCTGGCTTACCTGGCCTAGCTTTCTCTTGATACTGCTTTTAGGAGAAAAAAAAAACTGGAAAAAAATGCTGATTTTTATATGAAACACTGGGGCTTTAGTTTGAAGATTTCACTGTAGTAAAAAGTTAGGTTTTATTTATTTCTGTTTTTTTCCTTATAAGTTATTATAGGAGAATAACATTAAAGGGTAATGACATATTAATACCTAGAGATTTCTCCCCTTTTCTCATGAGAAGAGAAAAGAAAGTAGTCAATTTAATGCATTAGCTTTATTGGGTTAATTCTTATTGTCAGATCAGTTGCCACTGTGGATGGGGCAATCAGATTTGGATTTCCTACAGCAATGAAAACTGTCAATTCCTGATTTCTAAACTATACCAATTGGTTTTCTGTTCAGTTTTTGATGTGTTGCTGTTTTTTAATTTTTGGAATGGGATAATATTGACCTAACTGAAGTGGACAGGTAGAGATTAGTTTAGTCTCTGAGACAGATCACGTTTTTGACTTTTTATCACTAACCTCTACTGCTAGTAAAGAAGCACTCTGATGGCTTGACAGAGAAGTTATCACTTAATCTCAGGTGGTAGACATGTTTTAATTCATTAATTTTTTTTAATTAACAATGTTAGACATGCAATGGCTTTAGATTATGGTGCAATTTTCTTCTTCTGACTCTAATTAAGAAAGATATAGTTAACATAGAAAGGCTAAACAAATAAATAAAGGTGGAAGAAAAGAATGAGCAGGTTTAAATTGAGTTTTTGTCTTTAAAAAATCAGGAATTTATTTTTCTTTTGCCCAAATGAAATTTAAGCAGGACAGCCTAGGAATGGATAGTTTGATTGATAGATTAAATGAGGCATGTGATGATACTTCCCAAGCATATGTTAAGCATAATTCAGCAATTTTCAAAGTATGGCTCTTAACAAGAATAGTAATTACCTTGGGAATTAGTTAAAATTGAAGATTCCCAAACCCACCCACAGTCAGTGATCAGAATTTTTTTGGGGTGGGCCTAGTAATCTATATAACTAGACTTCCAACTTCTTACACAAGCTAAAGTTTGAGAACTATAATGTGTTTTATCAAAGTTTGACTATTTACCCAGTTTCTTTCAGACTCAGATCTGTAAAATGCTTTATCTGTTTTTGTAAAGCATGACCAGAATTTAATAAAAGAGACTATTAGGATTTACTTTTTGGTAAAAAGGATTGAGAACATGAAAACCAGTATTCCTTAAGCTTTAGGATTTATTTTAAATAAAAATTATTTTCTGATTATGAAGGTAATATATGTCCCTTGTAGGATTTTATGAATATGTAGGAAATTATAGAACAAATCCCCATAATACTCTTTCTTGGACATTAGTGTTATTCTAATTTTGGCATCTTTCCTATTCCTCTCCATTTCCCCCTCCCCTTTCCTTCTTTTTATCTTTGTAAAAAAAATATGCACTTTTTATCCTACTTTTTTTCTTTATTTAATATATCAGCATTTTAGTACATTAGTAAACCTTTGTTCACAGCAGTAACTTTTAGTTACTAGACTATATTTGCTATATGGGTATACTGTAATTTACTTAACCATTATACTGTTGTAAAATTTTAAGTTGTTTTCAGTTATTTGAGTGGAAGAATGTCTTTCTGTTTAAAATTTTATCTGGATTTCTAATTATTTTCCTCAGGATAGATTATATAGTTAAATTTATTGAGGTCAAGGGTATAAATGCTTTAAAACCCTTGTCAAACATTGCCAGATTATTTTGAGAATGATATTTATGCCAGTTTTTACTTTCACCTGTATATTTATATGAGAATGCCAGATCGAAGCAATAATTAATGATTAATTTTTTAAAAACTAATTTGTTAAGTAAAGTATTATATATCATTGTTTTAATTAGTATTTTTTTTTTTTTTTCTTTTTGCAGTGCTGGGAATTGAATCCAGGACCTCGCACATGCTAGGCAAGTGTTCTACCACATCCCTAGTCCTAATTAGTATTCTTTGATTACTAGTGAGTTAAATGCTTTTGCATATGTTTATCAGCTGACTCTAATTTTTATCTAACCCAGGTTGTTCATTTTGTTTTAGGTCTTCTCTGTCGGTTGAAATGTCTGTGATTTTATCTGCCTCTGTCATTCGTGTCAGAGATGGACTGCCACTTTCTGCTTCTACTGATTATGAACAAAGCACAGGAATGCAGGAGTGCAGAAAGTATTTTAAAATGCTCTCAAGGAAACTTGCTCAACTTCCTGATAGATGTACACTGAAAACTGGACATTATAACATTAAGTAAGACTTCAATTTGTTTCATTAGAATCACTTGCCTAGTGGTTGTCATTTTAATGAAGTTAAAGTGGTTGCAAGAGAAATTAAGGTTTGATTAGTTTAGAAAAACTTGTTCCAGGCAATAATCATGTTCTAAAGTTATATGAAATAGTAGTTATTATGTCATCCAGTAGCCATATTAGTGAGCTTTTAATGATTTTTATATCTTCCTAGTATAAGCAAATGGTATGGTGCATGAAGAAGTTTTTTTGAGAGAGTTTAGGAGTGGGATAAATCGGCAGATGTCTAATCTGAACTGATCCAAGAATATAGTTCCGAGATATCTAAAAGAATAGATTGCATAACTTTTTACAACCATGCACAGAAAAACCTCTGTGTATGTTGTTTTTATAGCCAAGCTTTCAAAAAGGATTGGAAAACAAGTTCCTTACAAGGAACTAGTTGCTGATAAGACTCTGGATTTCATATATTTTCTATCATTGATAAGAGTCTTGGATGGTTTTTATTGAGATTTTCACAGTATATGACATTGAATTTAGTCTGAAATATATAAAACTGGCAATTTATTTGTTACCTGACTTTTAAAATTCTCAGAGCAACTAACTATCAGGAGTTTGCCAGTTAAGACTCATGGGATCTATAGTAGCAACATTGTAGCACAGCCTAAAACTACCACAGGCTGTATCTGGGTCTCTCTTGGTCCCAGTAATTGCTTCTCTTTCCTCCCAAGCCTAGTTTATAGCCTATTTCTTCTGAATCACCTTCTTCCTCATTACTAGTGTTACATTTCTCTTATGATCTCATTCCCTTTACAGGTTCATGTAGAACTATGTTTGGGTTTTTTTTTTTTTTTGTCATTTGTTAAATTTTGTTTTAAAAATTTAAATTCAGGGCTCGAGTTGTAGCTCAGTGGTAGAGTGCTTGTCTAGTATGTGTGAAGGACTGGGTTCAATCCTTAGCACCACATAAAAATGAAGTAAGGTATTGTTTCCATCTACAACTAAAAAATTAAAAAAAAAAATTTAAATTCATTATTTGCTCTAACTGGGTTGAAGCTCATTGAGGAAATTGACCTGTCATGGCCTATACTGTTTTTAATTCCTCATCTTTTAGCATCATGGTTTTCAAATTTCTTTAGAAATTGAGGCACCATAGTAACTAAATGTATATTTATATGCTAAATCAGATGATACCTCACATTAGAGTCAAGTTGTCATGACAGAAAAAGACCAGAATTTTTGAGAGAGAAAAAATAGGAAATTAGTAACATTTAAAAAAATTCTTTTAATTTTCTTCTCTTGTGTGTTGGGAAAATGATGTATTTCATCTGAGCATAGTGGCTGGGCACTTCATTTCAGCTAGAGGCACACAATCCCTGGAGCATGGCTTTTGCTAGCACAGTGTCTTGCATGATGTCATAGCTGTCATAGCTGCTAAATGAGGGATGGTAGTTTTGGGAGTTTGACAGTGTTCAGAGTGTCATGGAATTAAGTCTTCAATTTCTCCAAAAGGTTTCAGCTTTGAAGAAATCTTGTTGATTGGGCAGAGTGGAGTGGAGTGTAGGGATATCCATTTTTGTGATTTCTTTTCACATTCCTTGGCAATATTACAATTCTGTTTATAAGAAATTTTAAAATCATCTGTTTCATAGGTTGAAGACTACTTTCCTGAAGTTGTAATAAATATTTAATGAATAAATTTATTTCATTACTTAAAAAACAATGGCCAATGCATTAATGGTAAACATGTGAAAATTAAGTTGTGTCATCTGAGATCTTAAAATTTTGTGATTGATTTTTGGGGGTTTGAAAATGATAGTTGTACATTTTGAGATGTCTTTTAACATAAAGACATTGATTTTATGAAAAGACAAATACCATTTGGGAGGTCAGTCATACCTTATTGTGAATTTTAGTGCAAGAAATACAATTTGTTAATTCTTTCATTGCCTGTTCACTTGAAGTCTGATAATGGCTGTGAACCACCTAGATTCTCTCCTTGCCCGAGGGGTCACTTTTTATTTGTCCCCAAACTGCCACCTCCAGCCAAAAATGCTATTTTAAGCCTATTTGTCTTTTAGTTTAGTCTCTAGCAGGGCTTTCCTTTTACCCTTTGATGATACTTTCTGATTACAGAAGTAACAACTTCAACAATAACCAAATTATTAAGTATCTGCAATGATCATTAAGCTTTGCAACAGTTCTGTGAATGGCTAATAAATAGAGCTCTTTCTCATTGCTGGGGGCAGATGTACAATTCATATAAGCTTAAAAGAAAAAAAAAAGTATTGTGTTCAGTATTTTTGCTTTATTCTCCCCTCAATTTTGATGGAATACATATTTAGGCAAAGGAGAAAGACTCCTCAAGGTGATACAAGTTAACTATTCTGGTTGTATACATACAAGAAAGTTAAAAGAAAGTAAATCACTCATAATCCCACACTCAAACATCATTACTGTCTTAGCATATTTTCTTCCAGTTTTTTCTCTGATGAGTTTTTTAAATTAGCAGAGATTGTTCTTGATACAGTTTTATACAGTTATTTTACTTTTAAATTAAAAACTTATAAAAGCTGTGCAATGATTTTTCTACTCATTTCTCCATTGTTTATTTGCTCATTTCTCCATTGTTAAATATTAAGTGATATCTGGGTTTTTTTAGGCCATTAAAAATAAAAATGCAGTGAGCCAAAAGAAAAAAATGTATTGTGAAAGATTGGGGTGGCATTTATCAAATGTTCCAATCAGCAATCTTTCATTTCCACAGTCTCTTGTTTTTTCAGATAGGTATTCACAGACAGGAAAACACTTGCACAGTTAATTCCAGGTTTACTTCTGTCCCACCAAAAAACTATTCCCTCCATGTTTCAAGAACAAAACTTCAATTTGGCTTTGCTTGTTGTTTTGGCCCAGTTGTGGACTAATTATTGTGATTCAAGGGGATGAAGTACTCTTTAGTTGGTCACACTCAGCCCTTTGATGGGTAGATTTTCTAAAGCTATGTAGAATAGGTGGTAGGGCTGGGGGAAATTCCCCAAAGGGATGCTGGGTATTTAGTCATGATAGTTCTATTTTATAGATAAAGTAGATGAGACTTAGGGATATAAAGAAATTCCTTTGAAGTATAAATCTAATAAATTGTATATCTGAACTGCAAGAATCACATATTTGATTTTTTTAAAAAAGGAGTTGCTCCCTTTACCTTTGGTTCCCTTCTTGACAGTGAGCATTCCTAATTCTAATTATTTTCAATTATTGTGAAGAAAGAAATTAACCAGGTAAAAGAAAAGTGAAATATCCTCTCCTATTTATATATTTATTTATTTTGAGAAATAATGAGGAGTAGAATATACACTAAGCCTAAATTTGGTGGGACAACATTACCTTGTTGGAGACTAGAACTTTGGCAGGGAGAGAGGTTGTGAGAGGGGAATGCAAACCTCCAGTGGCTACCAAGCCATTTGGGGCAAGGAGAGAACCTGTGTATCCTATTTTCCTAATTTGTCTCAATATTCTTTTACTATTTATTGTGACAAAACACATAGCTTTTCAGCACCATATGTGTTAAATAGGCTCTTGTGAACTTGCCTAAGAACCTAATTACTCTTTCAATACAGTTTCTGTGGGGAAGAGAGATCTTGGTGCAGTAAACTTTGGTGATATAATGGTTGTTTGTGATCAATTATCTAAAAAAGTTAGAATCTTTTCTGGGGTGTGGTGGTGTTCGGGTAGTGGGAAAGGGTGAATCAGGGGATAGATTAATTCTACAGGAAAGGAAATGAAAGGTGTCAAAGGCAAAATTTGCTTAGTCTGTTTTTTATCCAAGTCTCTGGTGTAATCACCTTTAGCTCCTTAAAACTATCTCACCTTTTCCTTTAGCATTCTGTTAGAAGTTGCTGTTACCTGGCATATTGCATATTAATGCTTTTTTGTATTTAATGAGGTTTAAATGGATTTTTTTTTATTCATGGGACACTTTTGTACATGATATGCTGCTCATTATTAGAGGGTAATTGAAAGTTGGGCATATAAAAGGAATAAGTGAGAGAAATTTAGAGCTTCTGATTTAGTGCTGAACAAAGCCAGTGTTACTGGGCTCTCTTTCTGGTTCTTATCTCCTTATCGTCCCACTGACAAATAACAGAATTATTGTTTTCTACTTATTTCCTGTTGAACACTTTTGGTGGTAATAAAAACCATATGACATACTTACTTTCTTAATATCAACCCTTTTAATTTAATATTTAAAAGTTTATAAACATTTTATTTTAGTGGAATTCAGTGTGGAAGAAATAATTTTCTTAGAATTTTAACAGTAGATTAAAGATTTCACATCCTACTGGAGAATGTGCACCCAGGAAAACTATTCAGTGGGCAAATGTGGCCACAAAGGATGAACAGATTTTTCTATGTGTAATGGTACAATTGTAGAATGAAAATTGTATGTCATATATGATGAAAATATGAATTATTACTGTCAATTTACAAATAGTTTGCTATATATTTTGTCATTGGGCATGCTGTAAAATGCATTTTTTTTCTTATTTTCTATCATTGTTTCAAGTCCTTAGTTTTTTTTTTTTATTGGTTGTTCACAACATTACAAAGCTCTTGACATATCATATTTCATACATTAGATTGAAGTGGGTTATGAACTCCCAATTTTTACCCCAAATGCAGATTGCAGAATCACGTCGGTTACACAGCCACAATTTTACATAATTCCCTATTAGTAACTGTTGTATTCTGCTACCTTTCCTATCCCCTACTATCCCCCCTCCCCTTCCCTCACATCTTCTCTCTCTACCCCATCTACTGTAATTCATTTCTCTCCTTGTTTATTTTCCCATTCCCCTCACAACCTCTTATATGTAATTTTGTATAACAATGAGGGTCTCCCTCCATTTCCATGCAATTTCCCTTTTCTCCCTTTCCCTCCCACCTCATGTCTCTGTTTAATGTTAATCTTTTCTTCCTGCTCTTCCTCCCTGCTCTGTTCTTAGT